GACTCCATCCATTTTGGCACGTCAACAACCACAAACTAGGCCTTTGGTAAAAACAAAAGTTGAAGAAAAAACTATGATAATAGATCAAGGTCTAGTGCTCATCGAGGGGAATGGAATTGAGGGTTGAGTTATATACTCTTAATGAAATTTATAGCTCAATGAGTGGGGTGTCTTAGTTATGGGAGAACCCTTGACAAATTTCACCTATGTGGGTGTCAAAGTGAGGTTGTTTCTATGAAAATTGGATGGTTAATTTTCTAGTTCACCCATGAAAACCCAAATCATGTGCAAGGCCTTAACGTGTGTGTTGTGTGAAAAAATCAACATTTGGATCATTATGTGTGTGATATGATTCTTGTATCTTCCAATGAGGTCATAGTTCAAGACTTAGTTTATTATTGATTTTGGATTAAAAATTGTTGACTTACTTAATAAAGGTTCAAGGCTTAGCTACTTTTATTATGCATAATAATCCATCTTTACCTAGAAAAAAGGTTTATTTTTTATTAAAATAATAGGAGAATTGTTAGAACTTAAATATGTAAATAAAAAATAAAATAATATATTTTATAAATTAAATTTACTATCCCATTAAGGACTTGGTCAAACTAGCTATTATAGGTTAATTACCCTACTTTAGGGCACATTATTTCATAATAATTGCTCAATTTATTCCTACCATTAACCTACAAATGGGAGTTACAAGACCATGAGTCCTATAAATAGGACATGTCTTTAAGCTCAACTAAGGAAGTTCTTTCGCATTCTTCTATTTTCTTACCTTATTTTGTCTTCTAAATATTTTTTGGATAAAAAGAGTGTTTTGAGTTAAGTGACTCTATGGATGGTACGGATTTATAGAGTGTCATTATAAGACTGTAGCATCTTGGGGGTGACATGCTAAATGCATCTCTGTTGCATCGATTGATCTACTTTCCACAGAGGTGTGTATCGTCTTAAAGTAAGTAAGTTTTTCATGCTTATTTCGATGATATTTTCTTATTGATCTATTTTGATAAGTTCACTAATTATTATTTTATTTAATTTTGTGACTGAAGCACAATAATGACATGATGTGGAGATGGAGGAGAGTGTTTGAGGAACAACATATTATAGTTATAAGCTTTGTGTAATATCCCAAAATTTTGGGGTATTTTAGCATTTGGTTGGGGACTTATTTGAGGAAAAATATTATTTTGTGGCTTAATTGTAAAATATTTAAAAGTTGAGGGACTTAAAAGAAAGGAATTAGGATAAGGATTGACTGCTTTTCCTTTTTCTTTTTCTTTTTCTTTCTTTCTTTCCCTCCCCATCAGACCCGCGTGCCCTGCTCTTCCTCTCCCCCGACCCTCTGCAGCCGACGAACCCCCCCAGCCACCGCCACCCATTTTTCGGCCGGAAATCCGGCAAAGCTTGGGGATTTCTCCCTATTTTCTTGTCTTAGAACACCTGTTGAACCCAGAAAATCCCA